GCACTGCTCCTCGCCCTCTCCCGCCGCTCTTTCTTGCCCCAGGTCCTCCCCAGGTAGACCCCCTCCCCGCGCCAGGTCCTGCTCCTTCAGGTGTTTCTCAGGTAGACCCTCCCGTCCCTGCGCCTGTTGAGGTCACTGGTGACTCCGGTCCTGCTGGTGGTGGTGCTGTCCCTGGGGGTGTGGAGCTTGGGGGTTTGCAGCGTGGGCGTGCTGAGTCTGGGGGAGTTGGGCGTGAGGAGCCTGAGGGTACGGAGCCTGGGGGTGCTGAGCCTGCGCGTGAGGAGCCTGGAGGTCCTGCGTCTGGGGGTGCTGAGTCTGGGGGTGCTGAGCCTGCGTGTGCGGAGCCTGGGGGTGCTGAGTCTGGGGGTGAGTCGCCTGAGGGTTCTGAGACTGCTGTTCCGCGGTCTCCTTGGAGTAGCCGTCTTCGTCCGCGTGTGCCTCTCACCTCCCAGCAGCTGCACGACTGGTACGGTCGCCGTCAGCGTCGCGCTTCTGCACCTCAGGGTTCTACTGCTGGGGGTTCTTCTGCTGGCGTCACTGGAGCTGAGAGTGGTGCTGGTCCTTTGCCTGCTGGAGGTGTTAGTGTCGCTGGTCCCGGAGGTGCTCGTACTGGGAGTGCTGGAGCTGCTGGGGCTGACGGTGGTGTGTCTGAGGGTGCTGCTGCTGGTGGCACAGCGGTTGGAGACCCTGGGACTGGAGGTGCCGGTTCTGGGGGTGCTGCACCAGGTTGGGCTGGTGCTGAGGGTTCTGGAGCTGCTGGAGGTGCTGGGGCTGCTGAGGGTACAGGAGCTGCTGGAGGAGCTGGAGCTGCTGGGGGTGCTGGAGCTGCTGAGGGTGCTGGTGGTGCTGGAGCTGCTGGAGGTGCTGGCGTTGCTGAGGGTGCTGGAGCTGCTGGTGCTGGAGCTGCTGGTGCTGGAGGCACTGCACAGCCGCGCCTGTTCTTTGCTCCGCCGTCTCCGTCGTCTCTGCCCCCGCCTGGCTCCGTGCTTCGCCAGGTTCTTAGCCTCCCGTCGTCTACTGGTCTTCCGTTACAGCCTGGCTCACCTCTGCCTGCTCCTTCTCCTTACGCTGAGCAGACCGGGGGCCTTCTGAGCGTCGTGAGCCTGCGTCGCGTCCTGTCTCACCTGTCCTTTCCGGTCGTTCCGGTCGTCGGGTTCCTCGTCAGCGTCAGCCGGCTGTCCCCGGCCCTTCCCTTGTCGTCCGTCGTCCTTCCTCTCCGCCGCCACGTGTTCCCCTGCCGTCTCCGCCTGCCTCCTCTCTACCTGTCGTTGCTGACCATGAGTCTGACCGGTTTCGTGCTGAGCACCCTACTGTCACGCGTCTGCTAGCCACTGTTGTCGCCGACCCGTCGTTTGAGTCTTCTGGTGCGTCTGCCTTGGTCGCTGAGCTTGTCGACTTTGCTGCTCACTGTCGTCTAGACTACGCCGCTCGTCTTGTTGCTGAGTCTGAGTCTGTCTGTCCTCCGTCCGTCGGGGGTGAGTGTGCTCTTGGCACGGACGTCCTTGAGGACAGGCAGGAGGACCTTGAGTGACTTGCAGCCGCTACGCCTCATCTCGTGTCCATGCTGCTTGCCCCTGAGGGAGACCCGGATGCACCAGACATCCCGACTCCACGATCGTACGCTGAGGCGATCGAGGGTCCCTACTCCTCTCAGTGGCAGACAGCCATGGACGCAGAGATGGCATCCTGGAAGTCCACAGGCACGTACGTTGACGAGGTTCCCCCTCCTGGGGCGAACATCGTCAGTGGCATGTGGATTTTCAGGGTGAAGCGGCCGCCAGGTTCTCCACCGGTCTTCAAGGCTCGTTACCTTGCTCGAGGCTTCAGTCAGCGAGAGGGAGTTGACTTCTTCCAGACCTTCTCCCCCACCCCGAAGATGACTACTCTTCGGGTGCTGCTACACGTTGCCGCTCAGCGTGACTACGAGCTTCACTCTCTTGACTTCAGCACAGCTTTCTTGCAGGGCAGCCTGCACGAGGAGATCTGGCTGCGCCGTCCACCTGGCTTCACTGGGTCGTTCCCTCCTGGTACCCAGTGGAGCCTCCGACGGCCAGTCTACGGTCTCCGCCAGGCGCCACGTGAGTGGCACGACACACTGAGGACGACTCTTGCGGCTCTTGGGTTTGCCCCGTCGAGTGCTGACCCGTCGCTGTTTCTGCGCACCGACACTTCGCTGCCACCGTTCTACATCCTCGTGTACGTCGACGACTTGGTCTTTGCCACTGCTGACACTGAGGCTCTAGCCCACGTGAAGTCGGAGCTGCAGAAGAGACACACGTGCACAGACCTGGGTGAGCTGACAAGCTATCTTGGCTTGCGGATCACCCGGGACAGAGCACGTCGCACCATCACACTGACTCAGTCACACATGGTGCAGCAGGTCCTTCAGCGCTTCGGCTTCACCTGGTCCTCGGCACAGGCCACTCCTCTGGCTACAGGTCACTCGCTCTCAGCTCCACCTTCGGACGAGTCCGTAGAGCCGAGTGGTCCTTACCCAGAGCTAGTTGGTTGCCTCATGTACCTGATGACTTGCACTCGTCCTGACCTTGCGTACCCTCTTGGCCTTCTGGCTCGCTACGTGGCTCCTGGTCGGCACTGAAAGGTGCACATGGATGCTGCTAAGAGGGTACTGCGTTACTTGTGCAGTACGTCAGGCATGGGGCTCGTGCTTGGAGGGAGACGCTCAGTTGTTCTCACTGGGCACTCAGACGCTTCTTGGGTTGACGACCAGGCTACTCAGCGGTCGTCACAGGGTTACACCTTCAGCCTTGGCTCTGGTTCAGTTTCTTGGCGTTCTACTCGCTCGTCTTGAGTTCTCAGCTCCAGTTGTGAGGCTGAGATCTACGCCACAGCCATGGCTGCACAGGAGCTACGCTGGCTGACCTACCTGCTGACTGACTTGGGAGAGCGGCCTAGTTCTCCTCCAGTGCTGTACGTCGACAACAAGGCTGCCATTGCCTTGTGTGAGGAGCACAGACTGGAGCACAGAACGAAGCACATCGCTCTCCGTTACTTCCTGGCTCGAGAGCTGCAGCAGCGCGGTCAGCTTCGTCTGCGTTACGTGGCCACTCAGGCCAACACCGCTGATATATTCACCAAGGCACTTCAGCCTGGTGATCATCAGCGCTTTTGCACTATGCTGGGGCTTGTGCCCACTTTTCCTCACTTGCTGTAGGCTTTGTTTGTACCGTGATCTATATATATACCTGCATGCTTGCTCTAGTAGGTAGAGATCACTGTGCTGTTGTTGTTACATATATATCTCTGCATGTGAACTGGCCTTGTGGCCTTTGCTTGTGCTCAGACTGCGTGGTGACGTTGTGATCCACCCTGAGCTGTGTTTTGTTTCTTCTCTTGACAGGTCTTGTGACCGTTGCTTGCCCTGGCTATCCCCCATTTCGCCTATGGGGGTGTGTCAAATTATATATATATACCTGTTTAGGTTAGCTAGGCTGTATGGGGGTTAGCACTAGGGGGTACACAAAGTTCCTCGACACCCTAGTCTTGTACCCACCTTGACCTAATTCAATTACCTTTTGCCTAGGTATCTTAACAGGCGCCTCAAAACTCACACATGATTGTCCCCTCCTTTCTCTCTTGCGAATCTCATCCCTGCAAAAAAAAAAAAAAAATCCCCTGGATCCCTGCTTTCCGTGCCTTTGTCCCCACATGCAGCAAGTATGCAGTCATGATCCTACTCTCATTCCCTCACTCCCACTCCACTCCACTCCACTCCACTCCACCCCCACTGTCACCCTGCAGGGGAGATTTCGCCTTGGATCCCAGCCTCCTGCCGGTTCATCCCCACCTGCAGCGAGCATTCAGTCATGGCACTGCGTAACTATTCATTATAGATTTTCATCTCATCCGCTCCCTCCCTCTCTCTGTCTCTCAACTGCAGGGGAGATTTCCCCCTGGATCCCAACCTCGTGTCGCTTCATCCCCACATGCAGCGAGTATTCAGTCATGGCACTACGCAAGTACGGCCTTATGAGAGGCGGGATTCTCACCGCATGGAGATTGTTACGCTGTAACCCTTTCGGTGAGAATCCTGTAAGGTTTGTTTGGTTTGGTGGTGGTTACTAAAGGCTGCTGTCAAACAATACGCTTTACGTATGTACATGTTTGTTTGTTACGCTACAAATCCTTTATTTGTCTGCATTAAATTTGATGAAATTCTCTGCTTGCAGGTCCATCGGGATATGATCCTCCACGCTGGTTTGGGGAGCCTCCTCCATCTGTATAGCTTAGTTACGTATCATCAAGTCATGCCATGCAGCTGTACAGTGTACACTACTTTGATTTCTCTGTTAACCCCGTTCCTTGTTTTGCATGTGGTATGTTTTCGCTGATGGGTAAGCCTAGTCTCACTAAAAAAGGCTGGAAAAAACAAGCTGATGATGAATCAGCCAGGGTTTATGAAGAAAGTAAGTTTTACGATGAATCAGCATAAAGTTGCTGATATCTCAGGGCTCAGGGGGGGTCTTATACAAAAGTGTCATGCCTGTTGTTCACCCAAACATATTTTCCATTAGTATGTCAGTGAAGACCCAGGGGGACTTTTAGCCAGGAGATTATGGCACGGTATTACGTAGCTTAGCTGCAGTAGTAGCGCATGGTAACATGGAAATTACCATAAAGTACAGGCTACAGCTATTTCACCATATCACACAACAGAGCAGAAACTGCTGCTCAATAATACTACCGGTAGCTACAGGTCATTGTGCTTTTTAATAACACATCAGATTTGTTTCAGGTCTCAGCCTTTGCAACCCGAAAATTTCCGCTGCCCTGACTCATAATTTTTGCCCTGGGGTTTCTCGCATTGGTCGACGAACTTCCGGGCGGCGAAGGAACTTGCGGCGGGGTGGGGGCGGGCGGTGAGGGGGACTGCGTCACCAGAGGTGGGGGTAAATTACCCCGGAAATGTTTTAAGTTACCCTGTGAATGTTCCGAAGAGCCTTCTGTGTTGTTTCCACCTATCAAGCCAACCCCTGCTTCTAACCTTCCTCTTTCGGCTGTGCCTCGCCCCCCTGCTGCTTGCCCCCTGCCCCCACCACCTCCCCCTCCGCGTCCCCCACCTGCTGCTCCCCCTGCTCCCCCTGCCCCTCTTCCTCCCCCTTCCCCCAACCCCCCTCCACCCCTTCCTCCTCCCCCTCCTCTTCCTCCTTCCCCTCCTCTCCCACCCCCTCCCCCTCTCCCCCCACCTCCCCTCCCCCCTCCATCTCTGCCTCCCACTCCAGCCCCCCTTCCCCCACCTCTTCCGCCCCCCTCTCCCCTTCCACCCCCTCCTCTCCGCCCGTCTCCTCCCCCTTCTCCCCCTCCTCTTCCCCCAACACTCCCACGGCTAGAGGTGCTACTAGCAGGGCTACCTAACTGCCCCTCCCCTCCCCTCCCATTCATCCCCTCCCCTCCTCCTCCTCCACCTCCTCCTCCTCCGCCCTGTCCCATACCCCCTCCTCTACCTCTGTCACTCAAAACCGTGCCTTCCCTGTTACCACTCCCCATCTCCCTTCTAGCAGCAGCAGCAGCAGCAGCAGCAGCAGCAGCAGCAGCAGCAGGAGAGGGAGGGCCGGGGAGAGGAGCAGGCTGTTGCAAGGGAGGAGGGGGCACTCCTGAGTTTCTTCTCCCCATGCCCATACCTCCGGATTCCCCTGTACCTGCTCCTACTCCTCCGGAACCATCCATTGTCCCTCGCCCTGCTGCTCCTCCTGTCCCTGCAGCTGCTCTTTCTCCCCCCCTTCCTCCCCCTCCTCCCCCTGCTGTCGGAGAGCCAGCAGAAGCACCAGCAGCAGCCAGCCGTTCAAACCGGGCCAGGGCTTGGTCTGTCGACGCCTGCAGCTGCTTTTGCTGCTGCTGCGTCTGCTGCTGTTGCTGCTCCCGCCCCTGCACTGCATTTGCGGAAGAACCACCAGCAGCAGCGTCACCAGCACCACCACCACCAGCAGTACCAGCAGCCAGCCGTTCATATCGGGCAAGGGCCTGATCTGTTGACGCCTGCAGCAGCCGCTGCTGCTGCAACGAGTTCAAAGTGCGGCCCCTCTCACCTTCTAACTGCCCTGCTGCTCCCCCCACACCTTCCCCCACTCCCCCAACTCCCCCCCCAACCCCCCCTCCCATTCCTGCCTCCATCCTCCCTCCCACTCCCCCATTCCCTGCACCTGCTGCTCCCCCACCCAACAGCCCTTGCAAGCTTGCTAGCCCTGCCAAACCCCTGCCCAAGCCGCCTACTCCCCCTGCTCCCCCTGCTCCCCCTGCTCCTGCCCCTCCCGCTCCCCCTCCTCCGCCCATACCACCTGTTGCTCCTCCTCCTCCTCCCCCTCCACCCCCTGTCCCTCCTCCCCCCACTCCTTCCCCCCCTCCTCCTGCTCCTCGCCCTTCCATCCTTCCTCCCACCTCCCGTTCAAATCCCCCATTCATCCCACCCCCCATGCCATTTCCTCCCGCCCCCCCACCTAACAGCCCTTGCAGACTAGCCAACCCCGCTAGCCCACTGCCCAACCCCCCTAATCCCCCCTTCCCCCCTGCTGCTGCACCCCCTCCCCCTCCGCTTCCCCCTCCCTCTCCCCCGCCCCCTCCGCCTCCCCCTCCTCCCATTAAATTTCCCTGTCCTTCCCTTCCAAAGCCACTCTCCCCACCGATACTTAAATTCTTCCCACCGGCACTTAAATCCTCCTGCCTTCTGTCACGCTCTGGGCTCTTCGCCCCGGCAACCGTACTCTCTATAGTCTGCTCCGCTAACCACACTCTCAGCGGATTAAGCCCCTTTTTCAACAAATCCTGTTCCGAAGTTACCTTAGACGGAAAACCCAGAACTGAAGAAGGCTGTGATTGGCCAGGAGGGGATGTAGGAGATAGAGCTGCATTCCCTCCCCTAGAATACTCGTTAGAAGCCGTCTCTCTATAAGCACTCTCCGCACTATCACCAGGCTCAAGAGATATTTCGAAAAACACCCCCCCACTTCCACTATCCGACACTCCAGCACTTGAACCAACACTCACTCCCCTCCCCCCTCCTTGCTCCTGCTCCTTCCCACCCCCACCCCTTCCCCCTCTCCCCTCACTCCCCCCACCAGCACCTCCCCAATCCCCATTCCCCATCCCCACATCCCTACCCCCTCCCGCATCACTGCTCCTCCCAAATGCTCCTCCTCCCTCGTCCCCACTCTCCCTGCCGCTTACTCCTCTCTCTCCTCTCTCTCCATCTCTACTAGGCATAGAACCCAGAGGAGCAAGGGCAGCTAGTAGGTCCTCCTTAGAAATCGAGCCTCTCCGATTCATACTTAATCCCTTGGGCAAATCGCTTTGCATGGAAACCGAACCACCTCCCGAACCTCCTCCCAAACCTACAAGATTCCCTGCCGAGCGACCCCCCGGACCTCCAGGCAACCCTCCACCCGAGCCTCCTCCCAAACCTCCGGCCAGGTTCTCCGCCGAACCTCTGGACTGCCCTCCGAACCGCCTCACAGCATCCTCCTCCCCACTACTCACCACCTCTTTCCCTCCCATCCCTCCCATCCCCCCCATCCCTCCCGCCCCTCCTCCTTCGCCCCCTCTCGCTCTCCTTCCCTCCCCAACCGCCAAAGCCGCCGCTGCTGCCGCAGCCGCCGCAGCAGCAGCAGCCGAATCCCTCTCCCTCTTCTCCCTCTCCTCCCTCTGAATCCTCGCTAGTCTCTCCTCCATCCCCTCCTCCCACTCGCTATCCGTCCCCTCCCACTCCGTCTCAGTCAGTTCCCCCAGCGTTGACCCCCTCCTGTGCCTCCTCCGCCGCCCATACCCCGAACCTACAGCCATCTCCCCGCCGAAGCTGTTCCCCAAGCCTCGGAGCAGGCCCGTGCCGAACCCACTAAACCCACCGCCGCTGCTGCTGCCGGTACTGAGGGGGCTTCCTAAGGGGCTGCTGAGGGGGCTACCTAGGGGGCTTCCCCCTAAGGGGCTTCCCCCCAAGGGGCTTCCCCCCAGGGGGCTTCCGCCTAGGGGGCTTCCCCCTAAGGGGCTCCCCCCCCGGGGACTCCCTAAGGGGCTTTGAAGAGGGCTCCCCCCAAAAGGGCTCCCCAGGGGACCGTGTGCTATTAAGGAGGGCGTGTTAGAAGCACGACTGTTAGAAGCACCACCAAGAGCAGCACCAGCAGAAGCACCAGCAGCATTCCCCAGCCCTAGCCCGAGGCTGATTTGACTCCCCAGACCACCTGCCGTTCCTGCTGCCGTACCTGCTGCTGCTGCCGTGCCGCCCAAAGCTGCTGCTGCCGCCCCCCCACCACTACCTCCCGAAAGACGCCGGACGTGCGCTGAGCCATGCTCGTGCCCATGCCCATGTGCATGCCCATGCCCATGCTCATGCGTATCTGTTGCTTCATTCCCCCGCATGAATCTTTCCCCCTCACCCTCCCTCCCCATTCCCATCCCCATACCCATGCCCATGCCGTTCCCACCCATGCCTCCCCCCATACCTCCCCCCATGCCTCCGCCCATGCCTCCCCCCATACCTCCCCCCATGCCTCCGCCCATACCTCCCCCCATGCCTCCGCCCAAACCTCCCACCGTAGCTGCAGCCTTCTCAATCTCCTGCTTCATCATCTCTGCTGCCAAGCCTAACCTCTTCTCCCGAGCCTGCTGCCGAGCCAGCTGCCGTTCCTCCCGCCGAAGCTCCAACTCCTGGTCCGTATCATACTCTTCGACCTCCACCTTCTTTTCCAGTCGCCACAGCCTTTCCTGCCTCTCCCTCCTCTTCGCCTCCTCCCTCTCCTCCCTCTCAGTGTCGTAATCTCCCTCGGTTGTTTCTCCCTCTGTTTGTATCGAGTCCCCTTTCCCGCCACCTGTCCAGCCGCCCATGAACACTCTCATCGTCTGACGCGGAGATGTAACTGCCGCCCCCACCGCCGCCCCCACCGCCGCCCATGCCACTTGTCATGCCGCCGCCCCCGCCGCCCCCATATGACATGTAACCGCCGCCCCCCGTACCACCAGATGACATGTAACCGCCGCCCGCTCCGCCAGATGACACGTAACCGCCACGCGTACCTGCGGAGATGTAACCGCTGCTGCTGCCATCATCTGATGTAACTGTACTGCCGCCGATACCGTAACCCAAACCTCCTTCGTGCTCCCTCAAACCGTCTCCCCCAACCCCTCCTGCTGCACTAGAAGCACCACCAGCACCTGCACCAGATTTACTGTCACTACCCCCTCGGTACCCACCAGCAGCGGCAGCAACAGCAGCAGCAGCACCACCACCACCACCACCGCCACCACCAGCGCCACCAGCAGCAGTATACCCATCCCGTTCCGTACCAGTGCTGGCATTAGCAGCAGCAGCGTTGGCAGCACCTGCAGCCCCGTTATCCCCAGGGAAAAACCCGCCAAAGGAGAGAGTACGGGCCGGGGGAGAGAGCGGGGAGAGCGGCGAGAGGGAGAGGACGGAGGACGGGAGAGGAGAGAGCGGGGAGAGTGGGGAGAGAGGAGCGAGAGGAGAGTGAGGGACTGGGGAGGGGGCTTCGGATGACGATGCGGGAGAGGGGGGAGTGGCCAGCCCGGGACTTAGGCTGAATCTAGAGGACACGCTTCCTAGAGGGGAGTTTGCTGCCGAGCCTGCTGCCGAGCCTCCGGCTGGCGAGGCTGTGCCGAAGCTGGGTGCGGCGGAGCTGGTTCGGGAGAGGTGGGATAAGCTGCCGGTCTTTCGATGGGCTACAATTCCCTCCCATCCTCCTCCCCACGCTCCCCCTCCTCCCCCCCCTCCTGCCCCTCCCGCTCCTCCTCCTCCTCCTCCTCCTCCTCCTCCTCCTCCTCCTCCTCCTCCTCCTCCTCCTCCTCCCCCATCCCCTCCTCCTCCACCCCCTCCTCCTGACCCTCCTGCTCCTCCTCCTCCTGCTGCCCCTCCCCCTCCTCCCCCTCCCCCTCCCTCTCCTCCCGCATCACCAACCCGCCCGAGAGTCAACCTGAGGAAATGAGGAGGAAGCAACCTCCCGCCCCCAACCCCAGAATTGGGCGGCGAAAGTGATGCGGTGCGAGTGATCCCTAGGAGATTGCCGCCCAGAGGACTGCCGCCCAGGGGACTGCCGCCCCTCCCCCCTCCAAAACCAGCAGCAGCAGAAGCCCCACTCTCTTCCATAAGAATGGAAGACATGAGACGAGGCACACCCTCCCCTAGGCTGTGAATATTCGTACCACCACCGCTACCACCAGCACCAGCAGCGCTTCTACTGCCATTGTTGCTGCTAGAGTAAATCCCACCAGTTCCCCCTCCAAGGGGGCTAGAACCAATACTACCCCCACCACCACCGCCACCACCACCACCACCCCCACTGCGACTGCCAATCCCCACAATCCCACTCAGGGTCCTCCCAAGCCCACCAGGAGGGGGAGTACCCTTCACAAACGCAGTCAACTCAGCTTCACTCATCGTCACCGAGCCTGCCCCCCGGCCCGGAATCCCCGAACCAAACCTCCGAACCGGCAGGTTCGCCAGCTCAGGGTCGGTGGCCGGCAGCCACGGCACCTGCGGGCGGAGGTTCGGCGCGAGGGAGTGGCGGGAGCGGGAGGAAGGGGAACCAGGGGAGGGTGACCCGGGGGAGGTGGGACCTAGCGAAGTCCCCAGCATATTCAGCCTGTCTACAGCGAATCTCGGATTCGCGCTGCCCCAGGTAAAGCCTCCCCCAGATCCGCCCCGCAGGGCTGAGAGGTCCACTGAGGCGTGGCGAACGAGAGCAGAGGCGGCTAGGCGTTGGGCAGGGGAGCGATTGGCTGGGAGCTGGGAGCGCGGGGGAGGGGTGGGAACATGGAATTGCGTCCCTGCTTCTGCTGCTGCTGCTCCTCCTCCTGCTGCTCCTGCTCCTGTTGTCCCACTGTTTCCCTGCTGCTGCTGCCGATCTCTACCCGGGCTTACCACATTCCCTCCTGCCCCCCTCACACCCCCTCTCGGGCTCGAATCCCTCCCAGGAGAAGCACCGCCCCCAGTTCCCCCCTCCCCACCACCACCTCCCCCACCAGCACCAGCAGTAGGACTGCCCGCCCCGTCCTCAGCCCCACCTGCACTGGGTAGCAACCCTAAGTTCTTAGCCGCTTCTAACCGTTTCATTGCAACCAGCTGGGCGGCAGCTAGCCCTCCGAACCCTCCGCCGCCGCCCAGCCCGCCACTCATCTCCAGCAGCTCGGCAGGTGGCGCCGACATTTGCCGCCCGTGGAACCGCAGCCCGGGGGATAAAGACGCGGAAGCAGCAAAGCCAGAACCCAAACCAGAGCCGAAACCCGAACCAAAACCCGAACCGAAGCCCGAACCAAAGGCAGATCCCGGACCAGAACCGAAAGCCGCGGAACTAGCAGCAGGTGCTGCTACTGGTTTTTGCACTCTCACACCACAGTGCACACTCCCCACCGCAGTGCACACTCTCCCACCGCAGTGCACACTCTCCCACCGCAGTGCACACTCTCCCACCGCAGTACACACTCTCCCACCACAGTACACACTCTCCCACCACAGTTCACACTCTCCCACCACAGTTCACACTCTCCCACCGCAGTGCACACTCTCCCACCACAGTACACACTCTCCCACCACAGTGCTCACTCTCCCACCGCAGTGCACACTCTCCACCGCAGTACAAACTCTCCCACCGCAGTGCACACTCTCCCACCACAGTGCACACTCTCCCACCGCAGTACACACTCTCCCACCACAGTTCACACTCTCCCACCGCAGTGCACACTCTCCCACCGCAGTGCACACTCTCCCACCACACCACAGTGCACCCACAGGCCGTACCTGGTAGACGACGGCCTTGTTCTTGCCGGCAATGTTGCGGAGGAAGAAGGCGAGGAGGAAGGGGAGACTCGCCACCACCACAAGCACGCCCACAACCACTCCTTCACCATGGGCCTCCACTCACCTCACAAGCTTCCCTGGAAGCTTCACTGTGTGCGCCGTACGCCGCATGCGTGCTGGACATCCGCAATCCGCATCTTGCTGTCCGCATGCCTACCCTGCCTTGCCGTGCCGTGCCGTGCCGTGCCGTGCCGTGCCTGCCTGCCCAGCGCCTGTGTTCGTGCCGTGCCGTGCCGTGCCGTGCCTGCCTGCCCAGCGCCGTGTTCGTTCCGTGCCCTGCCGTGTCGTGCCTGCCTGCCCCGCGCCATCGCGCCACTGCAATCAAGGCGGCATAGTGAAGGGGGGGGCAACGAAAGAGGCGGAATGATGGGGGCGGAATGAGAAGGTGGAAACAAGGGGGCGGGGGAGAATGGGGAAGGGGAAAGCGGGGAGCGGGGGTGGTGTGGACAGGAACGATACTAGCCCGCGAGCAAATTCCACGCCCGCTGCTCTGACTTCGCTGGGATTACGAAAACCATGTCTGGCATCGCCGAAAACGACCCAGTGCCAAGACAAACGCGTCGAGCCCTGACGCAACGTAGCAACCCTAATTCGGACCTGCATCCGAAAAAAGCAGGGGGGCGAATGTTGGTTCGAAGTAACTTGGAGAGTAACTTTGGGGTAAGGTTTCGGAACGTATGTCTGAGGTTACGCCTCATTCTACTTTCCACGCAGACCGCGCGTTCAACTCTCCCAACACTTCAGGAACCAATCGCCATAACAGTTTTGTTTGGCTCGGAAACTCAATCGATTGGTCAAGTGCTTGGAGAAATTCAGTTCGGAGATTGCTCTCATTGGTTATCGTGCTGTATAGGGATGAAAATTAATTGGCTTAGAATTGCGACACGTGCTAACATTTCGCCCGATAAAAGTGATCAAAAACAGTGACTGTAGCAATAATATGCATATCTCGCAATACATTTATAATTAAATTTGCACTTCTGTATTCATGCTACACTCAACAAATAAATAAAAAATCCATTCAGCTGTATTAATAAAAAATCTGTATTTTGCACAATACTAGCAATGAACAACAGTTTGTTTTTGACACTTTCTTGTTAGAATCACTAGTAGCTAGGTGAGGAATGATGATTAGGTGAGGGAGAGGGGGTACAAGAGTGTCGAGAGAGTTGGGTTGTACCCTCTAAGGTGTGACCCTACACAACCTAGAGTAAGAACATAACAATATGTTTTGACATTTCTAGCTGTGAACTTCCTGCTTGACTGCTCAGCAATCAACTCGAATTTTTTAATTAGCCTACGCATTTGTTAAACTTCTGAATACAATGATTACAAACAACACAGGCTGCTCTAAGCCTAGCACTAAGTAACTATATTCGCTGCTTGCTGTCAGATTTATATGACATAGCTACTGTAGGCTATAGTGGGGTAGCACATATGGGGTACAGTTTTCTAGGGTTTGCTTTTGTATCCAACTTTCCTTTAGTCATTTCATTCCTCGTTTCTTCTCATGGTATCGAGCAGGTTCCCTAGTGGGAACACTTCCTAGGGCCCACCACGAATTTTTTTTTTCCTGCCCGGAGCGCGCTTCGCTCCTGCCCGAGTCGCGCCCTGTGTGCCCTCCCTACCGTCGCGCCCTCTCACGGCCCCTCACGGCCCCTTCGCGTCGCCCTTAGTGGCCCCTCTCACGGCCCCCTGCGCCGCCCTTACGGCCCCTCGTGCCACCCTTACGGCCCCTCGCGCCGCCCTTACGGCCCCTTACGGCCCCTCGCGCCGCCCGTCGGCCCCTCGCGCCGCCCTTAGCGGCCCCTTACGGCCCCTCGCGCTGTCCCTTACGGCCCCTCGCGCGGCCCCTTACGCCCCTTACGGCCCCTCCCGCGGCCCCTCACGGCACCCTACGGCCCGTCGCCGCCCTCCGCGGCCCCTCGCGCCGCCCTATCACGGCCCGTCGCCGCCCTCCGCGGCACCTCGCGCCGCCCTTCACGGCCCCTTCGCCGCCCTTCGCGGCCTCTCGCGGCCCTGTCGCCGCCCCCCCTCCGGCCCGCCGTCGCCGCCCCTGCCGCAGCAGCAGCCGCAGTCCCTACAGCAGCGGCCGCCGCCGTCCCTGCAGCAGCAGCCGCAGCCGTCGCCAGCAGCAGCCGCCACCACCTCCCTCGGGGCCGCAGCTGCTGCCGCCGCTGACTGCACCCGCCGGTGCGCCTCGGCCCTACCGGCGCCGCTCCACCCGGCCCCGCCGCCGCTCTCCCCCGCGGCCCCGCCGTCACCACCGAGCCGCCGGCGCCGCCGAGCTGCTGCCGAGCTGCCCGATCCACCCAAGCCGCCCGAGCCGCCGCGCCTGCCGAGCCGCCGTACCGCCGAGCCGCCCGAGCCGCCCGAGCCGCCGAGTCGCCGAGCCGCTGTTGCTGCCGAGCCGCCGTACCGCCGAGCCGCCCGAGCCGCCCGAGCCGCCGAGTTGCCGAGCCGCTGAGCCGCCGAGCCACCCGAGCCGCCCTGTCTGGTAAGATCAGCGCCTCTGTCACTGCACTGCCCTTACCCTACTGTTCGCGCTGCTAGTCTACTGCTGTCATGGCTACCCCTAGTGTCCTCGCTTTTGACGCTGAGGGTCGGGCCATTGACTTTGACGTCTGGGTAGATGACCTGCAGCTTTTCCTACAGTGCGATAGGGCAGACGGTCTCTCCCTCTTTGACCTCACCTCTGGTGCCTCTCCTGCCCCTGCTGCTGATGCCGACGCCACTGTTCGCTCACAGTGGGCCACTCGCGATGCTGCTGCACGTCTTGCTGTGCGTCGCCACCTGCCTACCTCTGAGCGTGCGCACTTTAGCCAGTACAAGAGTGCTCAGACCTTGTACGCCGCTGTAGTTGCGCGCTACTCCTCCCCTGCCACTGCTGCACTGAGCCGCCTCATGCTACCGTACCTCTTCCCTGACCTTGCTGCCTTTCCCACAGTCGCTGACCTCATTACGCACCTCCGCACTAGTGACACTCGCTACCGCGCTGCGCTTCCTGCTGAGTTCTGCGCCAAGAACCCCCCCCCCATGTACATCACCCTCTACTACATAGTCACCCGGCTCCCTGACTCCCTTCGCGTAGTCAGGGACCACTTCCTCTCAGTTTGCCCCACCACTCTCACCGTTGACCTCCTCGAGAAGGCCCTCCTAGCAGCAGAAAAGAGCATAGTAGCTGTAGGAGCCTCTCGTGGTGACCCTCGCACCCCCATCTTTGAGGGGTGTTCCCCCTCCCCCCTTTTGCCCTCTGTTGCCTCTACTGCTGCGGCCGACCTCGTTGGGCTTGAGTCGGTCGGTGCGGCGTCTACCCCTAGCGGGAGACGCCGCCCTGGCAAGGGCAAGGGGGGCAGGGGCACTGGAGGAGCTAGCGGGGGCGGTGGAGGCGGCGGTGGAGGCGGTGGAGGGGGTGGGGGTGGCGGTGGGGGTGGTGGCGGGGGTGGAGGTGTCGGTGGCGGCAGTGGAGGCGGAGGCGGCGGCGGCGGTGGCGGTGGGAACGGAGGTGGCGGCGGTGGAGGAGGCGGCGGCGGAGGAGGTGGAGCTGGTCGGGGTGGCGCTGCGCAGAGGGTCGGCTCCGGTAGTGGTCAGCGCCAGCAGCAGCAGCAGCAGCAGCGCCCTCGTGACATCCCCCCCCCTCAGCAGCTCCGTGAGTGGTACGCTGCACGCCAGTGGGGTGGGGGTACTGGTCCGTGCACCTACGTCCTACGCACCGGAGACCGCGCGGGTGAGCAGTGCTGGGGTGCGCACTCCACCCAGCGCTGCTTTGGCCGCCTGACGGACGCTTGGCGTCACCAGTTCCCTGAGGCCACTGAGATCCCCCGCTGGGGTGAGCTGTCTAGGGCGGGTGTAGCTGTCTTTGACCTTGACTTTGATGCTATTCTTGCTGCCATGTATACTGTGACTATTAGTGATGAGGGTGACTGTTACCGGTGTTTTCCGCCCGACCTGGGCATTGAGTCTGCTGCTCTAGGTACTGGTGAGGCTGCTGCTCTAGGTGCTAGCGAGGCTGCTGCTCTAGGTGCTCGTGCGTCTGCTCCCTCAGGTGCTGGTGAGTCTGCTCTCTCAGGTTCTGCGTCGGCTTCGGCCTCCCACACCTTCACCCTTGACTCGGGGGCTTCTCGCTCCTTCTTTCGAGACCGCACCACACTCACGCCGCTTGGCCGGCCAGTTGCAGTCTCTCTGGCAGACCCCTCTGGGGGTCCTGTCCTTGCTCACTTCTCCACTGTCCTCCCGTGTCCGGCGGCCCCCTCTGGCACCCTGTCTGGTCTTTACCTCCCCTCGTTCTCTACGAACTTGGTGAGTGGTGCTGACCTACAGGATGCGGGGGTTCACCAGTTCACTCCTGC